GGGGGGCGGTGGGTTTGGGAGGGCCGCGTTAAGCCAACCCGCTCCCAGGTTGGGAGGAGGAGGCTGGTTTGGGGGTAGAGGAGCCCCCCGGGGCCTCCGGGGGGCAGAGCAGGAGGAAGGGCCGCACCGGGGCTGCAGCTCCTGCGGTTTGGGGGAAAGGCCCCCCAGGCCGGGCAGAGGGGGCAGCGGCCAAGCGCGGAGGCGGCAGCGGGAGGGTCCCTGGGAGCCAACGGCCACTCGCAAATACCTTATTGGAGGCTGCTTAACGTCTATAAATACAGATTACTGTTAAAAAACAAAATAGACCCCTCCTAGGTGTGTGTAGCACCCAGCGCGCTGAGGCCCGTAGCCCCATGCACTTGTGCGGTGGGGAAATGGTCCCATCGCTGGTTAAGGCTGCGGTGACGCTGCGAGACGTCAGCGCGCGGCGATTCCGCCACCGAGTTCCTATGGAGCGGCCCTGATGTCACAGGCGGGCGGGAAGGGAGAAGGGTCGGCCTTTTCCACGGCGCCTTCCAGCCCCCGAGCTGCCCAGCTCCCGTTCACGAGCAAAACCCACGTTGTGAGGAATGCTGTGAGGTGCTGTGAGGATTGAGAGACCAGAGGAAGTCGTTGCGGACGCTAGTTGTCATCTCATGTAAACAAGATGAACTGAATTGAGTATTTATTGAAAATGTAGTTGCTGCCACTCTTCCTGAGTGTTTTTCCTAGCCAGTCGGATGTCATTAAAAGCCCCAAATGTATTTTTAGGCGTGTCTGAGTACTGAGAAGTGCCAAGGCTGAGGATTGTCAAAGGAGTTTATTTAGGAAGATGCTTATCGCTGGTTTTCATGGCAGATAGGAATCCTTGCCTCTTAAAGTGCTGTGAACGCTTCATGCTGGCTCCTTTGTGAGAAAGGTGCAGGATTTTCTGCTCTGTAGATTACAAAGAGAATGTGAAAGATCACAGTAGACTAAAGGTTTAGGAGGCACCTTCATTTATTTATCAAGTTTTCATAGTTTTATTGCAGACTCACTTTTAGAAAACAAAAGGTAAATCAGTGGGCTGCTAACATTTATATTTTTTTCTCCTTTCTACCTCAATGTCCTTCAGGAAGAGGAGGCGGAATGGTAATGAAGATGATAGTCACATTCCTCAGACAAAACGTAGCACCAGGAATACTGTCCTTCAGGACTCTTGGGACACTGAGGTGAGAGGCTTTTCAGGCAAATTGAGTTTCTTTTAATGCTACCTTTAAACAATGTTTAGAATAGTCCATGAAATCTCATTCACAAAGAGCTGTTACTGAAAACACATTTTTTTTCTTTTGTGTGGTGTGATTCAAAGAATCTATAAAATACAGTTTGGAAATCAGCATGTTTTCAAGTGAATGTGCCTGCCTGTTGCTTGAAAGGTTCTGCAACATAGTTCAGCTGCTGATTTATAGTGCACAAAATGAGCACACAAGGAAGGCATTTGCTGCCACTTGCTGTGTCACATCGGGTGTATCCAGACCCAAAGAGTCGACCACAAGTTCCTGTGGTCGCTCCGCCTGGCTGCTCCTGCAGCTTGGCAATTAAAAGGCCCTTCCCACTAGAGTGCAGCCCTGATCAGTGCGATCCTGGAGCGCCCGTTCAGTCGATACCGTTTGTTTGCTCTCTGAAAACGTCCAGGGTTTTGAGCAAGACTTGCTCTTTCAAAGCTGGAGGGCTCCGACTATCTGGTTTCTGTTTGTCTTTGCTGCGATCTTTTGTTGGATTGGGAGAAGCTCTTCCCACTTTCTCGCTGGTCTCCCTGGCTGTTCTGCAGCATAAGTGGGTATTTGAATTGCAGGAGTTTTGGGAAGTCACTGGGAAGGTGCTGTGTGAGGGAGATGGGCATTGAGTTATGTCCAGAATTGGTTGCTCATAAGGCAGGTGCTCTGTGAAGGTGCGGTTTGCTGGCTTTGATAGTTCTTTTTTAAAAAAATAATGCTGATTTCCAGACTGTGCTATCTCATTTCCTAAATTGTTCCAAGTATTAATGATCTGAAAATTCCATATACATACATACATATATGTATATATATGTACTATATCATTTTCTAGTTAGCAGTGTGTTTCTTTTGCAATGTGATGACAAAAGGAGCATGGTGTGAGGAGGCTTCCTCCTGGTTGGTGTCACTGGAAGTTAATGAAATGTATTTCTTTAATTTTTTAAAAAAAATTAAGTAGCCTTCTCCCTGTGAAGGCCAGTTGCAATTAGTAATTGTGAAGTACTTAAGTTACACCGAACTGTCAACCCTACTTGGATTGCACAAATTTTGTGGGCTATATAATTTTGATCTATATATATATATTTCTCTTTCAATAATGGGTTCAAAGTATGCTTACATTTAAGATGATACAAAAATGTATATCTTGTTACTGCTTTTGTCAAGAATACTTTTTTAAACCAGTGCACCCTTAGAGGTGACTGATGACAGTGACATTGCATGAAAAATGCTGTAATGGTTGAGATGTTCCTCATGGAGGTATCTGCTGTGGCAGAAAAACACAGGCTTCTGGTAGCTGTGTTACTGTTTTGCTACAACTAAGACTTGCCGGGTGACGTTGTTTGCTGCTTGCTCTAACGGGTAGAACATTAAATAGCTTCTTGCCATCTGACACTGAATCACTTGTCCAACAGGTTAAACACCTCTTCGTGTGTAGAGTAGTTAATGGCTAAACAAGCTTTATGGCGGGAGGAGGAAGAAGTTAGTATGGAACAAGGGATTGGAGTAGGAGTAAAGAAATTAAGGATATCAGGAAAAACTTAATGGTGAGTGGCAGAAGCACCTTTGCTTGTCGAATAAACACGTGGCGTTTGGGCACAGCTGCTAAACTGCAGGAGTGGAAATAGTTGTAGAGCCCACGGGCGTGGATGGCCTCGGGGCTGTCCCTGAGCGCTGGCTTGGGCGGGCTGGGGACGCGGGCTAACAGCACGCCTAGCGCATGCAGCTCTGCCGTGCCAGCCTCCTTAATACATTAAACCCTCGTGCAGGTGATGCCCACTTGCAGGAATGCACCTGCTGGGTGCAGAGTTGGAGAAAAATCAACGTTCGCTTTTCTTGAGCGAACAAAATTCGCAGTGTCGTGCACTGATGAATAGCGCTTTATTTGCTTTTTGCTTGTTTCCTTGGAATGTTGGATAACTGAATCAGCATGCCCAGAAACTCAAGCCATGAGTTAAATCCTGGTTATTCCCATGTATCTTAAGGACTTCCTGTGCCACATGAAGAATATCTTGTGCTTGTAGTGTGCAAGTGCTTCCCTTTCATGTCCCTTTGAAATTGTTGGCCATTTATAACACTTTTATTTAGTTTCCTGATAGTTTGTCATTTACAGAGGTAACTCTTGCAGATTAAAAATCCCTGCTAGCTGTAGAATATTGAACTAGAAGTAAACGTGTGTGTGGAGGGACACAGGGGGGCATTTTATAATTTTAAAGAGCACACGAGCAAGGAACTGCTTTTCATCCGAGGGCATCGCTCTCCCTGCCTTTTGTGAAACACATTGACTAAACCCCCTCTTTTGCCTTCTTTCAATTGCAACCCGGGGTTTTTATTCACATTGAGGTTGATTTAGTTGAGAACATAAGCTCAGTGTCAAACTCAGGCCTTTTTTCCCCTACCCTTTGAGGACGACAGCAATACCTGTACAAGGTATTTTACAGGTGCTTGTTCTAGTGGCTGCTCAGACGCAGGGTGCTCGGTGATGTTTCCCCTGTCGCTTACCTCCAGTCATGCTGCTCACGCCAGCTAGACTGTTCTGCAGAAGAGACTCCCCGTTTGCCCCATTGACGTGTCCTTTCACTTGGGGCATCTGTGACTCTTAGGGGAGGGAGGCTACGATTCGCTCGAGGGTTTATCAGCACCGTTTCCTTAACGCACATTTAGGAATTTAGCAAAAGCCCTTCCTACTGTTAGTCATCTTGGACACGGAGTTACGGGGAATCGTAGGTCCCGTGGGGTGCCTGCTCCAGCTATGGGACAGCAAAATGCTCTGCACAACCCTCAGAATCACCGATTAAAAGCTCTTTGCACTGATTTTTATTTTTTTTTCCCTGGGAAGGAAGGGAGTCTTCAGCTTCTGGCTGATTCCTTTCCTTCCTGAATAGCCTTCGTCCGTGAAACCTCATTTCCGAAGGTTCTTCTTTTGTTAGTCTGGCTGAAGATGGCATTCCCCAGAGCCCAGAAAACGGTGGAAGCGGTTACTGATGTGGGACACAAGTTGTTTATCTCAAAGCAGGGCTTTTGTCCAGCATTGCACCCATGCTGTTCTGTCAGGCATTACCCTAGTGAGGAAGGTGTTGCTGGTTTAAATTCTAATTAAAAATAGATTACTTCTCACTTGAACTGAGCTTGAAAGCTTAAGAGGGGCCAGGTCTAAGTGGCTGTTTCCCAAGTTCCTGCCATTAGTGGCTGAGATGCTGCGTTACTCATCAGTGGCTTAGTTAACGGATTTGTCTGGAGTTTTATTTGGAAGTTTTTTCAAATTTGGCAAATTTTGCAACTGTGGGATATGATGCTTAGAAGAGTTCCTGAACCAGATATTAACCATTGCCCTATGAATACTTAAGGTACTTCAAAAGCCTCCTTTGGGCTTTTCCTTTGCCCTTTCACTTGGAATCGTTGTTTCATTGTTTAGATAACTGTCGTTGCTGACGTGATGACTTTAAGGCTTCTTTTTTTTGTCTAATTGTAGTCCAAATGCGTAACAGAATGTGCACCACAGCCTGGGGAAATGGTAGGTCTGCGACATGATCTGGGCCATAAGCGGGTTTCACGTGCTAGTGAATTCTTGCATTAGAGAAATGGAAATAAAGAGGGTCTGATAAACCACATCTGTTAACAGCCTGAGGTGTAGGAAGCACATGCCAGGACACAGCCTCTGATTTAAAAAAGAAATAGAAAAGCCAAAAATAATCCTTCCTAACAGCTCTAAAACGTTTGTTAAAAGCCGTAATTACTATTAGGTTCTCATCTCAATTTTTACCTTGATTTTGCAGAAGGTGGCTGTAACGAAAAACAGTAAGGAACACAGACTAAAAGGAAACAGAGTGTCCTGTGCGGTGGGTTTCTCTCCAAGGCTGCTCTAACTCGCAAAGCGAATGGTGTCGCCTCTCAGTATTTGGCTTTTTGCTCAAAACGAGACGCTGCAGCAAGGCCCCGTAGCGGCTCCTCCCTGTCCTCGTGTGCTCCCCCTCTCCAGCGTTGTAGCTCTAGGAAGAGTAGCCGGTTGCTCATGTAGTTACATCTGTTGCTTTCCTAAGATTAGATTTTATTTTGTTTTTTTTTTGTGATTTACTTGCTAGCTGGATCTAACCCGCAGCGTGGTTGCGGCCACAGCACAGTCCTCTTGCTTGCTATGCAGCAACAGAACTAAAACAATTCTGGTGCTTAGCAAAAACAAACAAACAACAAAAAAAAAAAAAACAAAAAATACATTTATTCTGTTTATGCAGTTGAATCCTCGTGACTGATTGTGCAATCAGTGCTGTGGGACTCACAGTCTGGCATTTTGGGTCATCTCAAATATTTATCCCGAGCGGCTTCCTGGGCCTTTCTCGCTGGTTGTGGACAGACCTGCCAGGTGCAGTTTGCACCATTCCTCAGATTTTGCTCCAAAATGAGGCTTCCTGGATGTGGTGCTATTAAAATTACTGATTACTTCTTTAAATTTGCCTTCCTTTGCTGTGGCCACCACGCTTTGACTTCTGTGGTTTTAGTTTAACACTTGAAGATGTTTATCTTCTGTCATTTGTGCTGGCTGCTTTTCTGCATTTTCCTCTTCTGGGAGGAAGTAGCCACTTTCTCGTTTTTAAGCACTTACATCTTAAATCTTTGCAGCGTTGTCCTAACCAGCATTTTGCACTATAAGGAAATATTGCAGCTGTACCTAATGGAAGCCTTTCCTTAGCAACCCCTAAAATGGTGTTCAGCAGTTTTATGTCTTTGAAACACCGAAAATCATGCCCTAGTGCTCATCTAGCATTGGTGCTATAAATGTGTTTATCCTTCTAAATGCTGCTGAATGAGCCCTGTCCTCTTACATGAGCTAAATCGTGAGTTCTGTTTCCTGCACATGGAAATATTTTGATGGCTGTCACTCTTCCACTGTTATGTCAAGAAAATTGGTATAGAAAACTACAAGTTAACCTTTCAGTCCCAGCACGTACTGGGAAAATGGTAGTTATTTGTATATCAAGGTGTTCAAAGACTTAAAATGGATGTCACATTGCATTTATTTTTAACAGCCCGTTGCTTTGGATGCTTCCAAACACATTTTAGAAACGTTAACTTCCAGAAAGATGCTTTGCATGGTGCTTACCTAAACCGTCTGCTAGAGCAGAACTGATGAGAAAAGCATTACAGCTTTTTAATGTCCTGCCTGCCTTTACTGACATGTGCAGTTCAGTGGGAATGTTCTTTATTTTCCAATTCTCGGATGGACTCAGCAAACTTCACTAGTGCTAACGTGGGTCATGGGGGCAGAACCGGTGGGCATAAACCCAATGATTGCACTGAATACACCAGAGTTCGGTGAACCTCGGGGTGAAACCTTGCTTGTCCCCTCACCTCCTTGACGCTTTTCAGGTGCTGGCAAAATAGCTGCAGCAAAAGCCCCTTTGGTGGATGTGCTTCAGGTCATCGGGCTGAGCGTGAGCCTGGAAATGTGCAGGGGGGGCTTTTTCCAATGCGTTAATGAACGTTAATGAATGTCCTGTTGCGGACAGGAGGAACCGGCGCGTGCCGCTCTGCTGTTAACGCTCCCTTTGTGTCTCCTAGTCCTCCAGCAGCGATAGCGGAAGCAGCAGCAGCAGCAGTTGTAGTAGCAGTAGCATCAACAGCCCCGACAGAGCAAGCGGTCCCGACAGCAGCTTAAACCCGGTCATCGCAGGATCCAGCCCCGTCGCCTCCCAGCCCTTCCACGAGCAGTCTGCACTAAGCCAAGGTCCGTACTTCCACATCAACCAGATCCTGAAGGAGGCACATTTCCACAGCCTACAGAGCCGGGGCCGCCCGCCGACATGATGAGCCAGCAGTTCCTTGCCTTCTGTGAAGGGACAGCACTGTGTAGATTTGATATTTCAACTTAAAAGTTTGTTAAAATGGAATTGCACAAAACGCCTGTTGCCTTTTCAGTCTATATTTGAGATAACAGGTTAACAGGAAATTGTTTACTTGTGGTTTGCTGCACTATTGCAATGCAAAAGGGGCTTTGAAGCAATTTTTATAGGATTCTTTTTGGGGTGGTTATAAAGAACGTGTCAAGGTGAGACTGAGGAATCCACATCTGTATTATAGGATTGCATAGTTAGTCCAGTTCCCACTGATTGCCTAATCTGTTTGTTAGCAATTTGTTGCTTTATGTAAAGTTCTTTCAAACATTCATCTTCAGTTTTATAAGTATTTTTTAATTTCAATAAAATAGTAAAAAAAATTCTTTGGCAAAATAACTTTTTTAAGGGCATGATGCTAGTTAACTGAGCATTTAGAGCTAAAGAGAGTCAAACAGCTGCAACTTTCCCCTCAGCCTAGTGTGTGATGAGCCTTATCTTGCTTGATCTTTACTGCTGCAGTATTCAAAAGAAAATGTGAAACTAGGACCAGGTAAACTTAGGCAGTTGTAGCCAAAATATCAGGTGCCCCTTGGGGTGCTTTACCTAGTAGAGTCGTGATCTCTTGAGGAAAGCAGAGAGTGGCCTGGAGAGGGGCTTTTGAACAGGGAACAAGTAGACTGTGTAGCTCACCCACCAATTTCTAACTGTGAAATGTTTTCTATTAAGTTGTGTACTAATTTTCTTTAATTTGAGTTGAAGGTTAACAGCTCCTAAGGAATGAGAAGTGAAAGAGCAGACAGGCTTCTGTGTCAGTAGCCTGACTACAAAGAGCATCCTCACTGATGTCTGTTTTAAGGAGCAAGCTGTGCCCTTGCTAAGGATGTAACAGTACAAGTGTTGACGCATCCTGGTGAGAGACGAGTGTGAAGATGAACACAGACAAATGTGAGTTGTTTAATTCTATTTTTTAATGGAATCACTTGGTCATGCCTGAAAGCCATCCCAGCTTGAAGAGGGAAGGGGCAGCTGTGTCATCTTCCTCGACTACAAGCTGCCTGAACAAAGAGCCGGGACGGAACGTCTCATCTTCCGCTCTTGGGAGCGCAGGAGGTGGAACCTGTATTTTTTATTTTTTTTTGAGAGAGAGGCAGTAACTATTACAGCATACCTTTGTTTTTTGTTTTTTTCCCCATATCTTCACCTGCAGCAGTTGCAGGGAGGCACAGACTGCAGCAGGACAGCCCTTCTCAGGCATGTGGAGCCTGAACTGGGTTGTGTTACTGCTGCTATAGGTGGTTAGTGACAGGCAGTGGTACAAGCAGAACTTCTTGCTTTTAGCAACAGTTAACTCCCCAGGTGTCCTTCAGTGCTCAAAAATAATCATTCTGCATTGCAGGAGGGAAGAGGCTGTTGCTGTCAATGCAAGGGGGACAACAGAATGCTGCAAGTCCAGCTCTAGCCCCAGTGTAGAGAGTTGTTCTTGAGAAACTGTGGACTTTAACCTCTCCAGAACCTTTTCAGCATAAAAGCAGTGAGCATCAGTCAGGAAGTCAGAGACGTGTGGCCAACACAGGACATTGGGTCACCACAGCCCTTGCTGCTGCCACAACAGGAGAGGGGAGCGGGAGGAGCAAGACGGACAGCGCTACACACTTCTACAGTCTGCCTTAGGGGTAAGAGGTAAAGAATACCTTAATTTTGAAGCTTCAGGCTTTTATACAATCTTTATACAATGTCTAGATCTTACTGCTTCTGAATAATGCAGAGCAAGAGTTGCAGAGTAAAAGTTAGCATCTCAGGTAACACTCTGCTCTGATAAAATCAGGTTTTTACCCTGCTGTTCCAGTTGAAAGGACATCAGCATAGATAGATACAGGCCACTAATGGCTAAAGGAAACAGATTGCTCAAGAGTGTTTCCTGTAATAGTGAGGTATTCCTTGGCTCTGTCCTCTGCATGGGGAACTCCATCCAAACAGCTATTTCAGACTGGGAAACGTGTAGCAACGAAGCAGTTGTCGACTAATAAAACTCAAACAGCGACAACACAAAGCGCTGGCAGGAGAAGCAAGTCACTCAGTTCACACAGGCTTAAATACCCAAGTGAGGCCTCAGCAGGAGTTAAAGGTCAGCATCATACTGAAAGGGAGTTCAAATAATTAGTATCCTTCAATGTTTCTTGTAGCCATCCTTAAATGAACCAAGTCTTTTATGCCTTGATCTCAAAATGCCTCCTCATCTGCATAGGTTTTCACTGCATTTTCATGGTGGTTATTGCCTATGTTTTATTGCAGAGCAGTGCACCAAAAAAAAAAAAATCCAGGCACCATCAGGTTTTTTGAGAGGCAAGGGGAAATCCAAACTATCTCATTGCTGTGTTGCCATAATGATTCTCTCATTTTAAAGAAAATAAAGAAACAGGTTAAATATTACTATGTTTGGCTACTTTCTTCTTTCCCTGCAAGTTACAGTGCAGGTGGGAGGATGAGCACTGGTGGCAGGTCAGCAGGGCTCTGTTGTACCAACCTGAACTCTTTCTGTGTTTCTGCTAGCAGATTTCGTCTTGTGAGAGCTGGACATGCTCAGTGGCAGAAGTCCAAACCTTAAGGAGAAGGGATAAAGAAATGCAGTGAGCGCAGGGAAGCCCCTGTTCTGGGAGTGTTTTGCAGAGCCCTTTCAGAACGCATGACCCAGCTCCCAACTTACCTGATCTGGCTGGAGGCCAAGGGCAGGATGTTGTGGAGCTCCTGGGTGCTCAGGGCGCTGCTCCTGCTCGTGTAGTGGGTCTCTGTCCCAGTCAACAGGCCGAAGAGAACCTGCAAGACATGAAGGAGCTGCTGGTATCTGGGGACACCGGAGGAGCTGAATGGCCCCCTCCCCCCAAAGCTACTGTATTTTTGGGACCATTCCAGAATACTTGCGGTGAGTTGCTTAATCACCCAGTTTCAAGTTGAAATATTAAGTCTCTGTCTGCACCCTCTTTAACTCTTGATTTTAATTGGTGCTGCTAGCTATTATCATGGCCGAGTTCTAGGCCTATTTCAGTCCTGCTTAACCCAATTAGTGTCACACAGGCTCCAGTGAATCCTGTTAGACAAAGTTGAGCCAACTCCATGTGTGATAATGGGTTATCCAGCCAGCTCGGCAAGCTGCGCTTATCTTCAGCTGCCTTTAAATCCTCCGTGGTCCTGAGGAAGTGCCAGTAGTTATCTTGGGGTATTAAGCAGTGCCCTTGTGGAGGGCAGCAAACCTGTTCAGCCTCGCGATGTGTCCCTTGCTCTCGTGAACTTACAGAGGTGCGTTGAACCAGGCGGTTAAGGTTGCTGTTTAAGTGCGGAGTGAAAACATCCAAGTCGAATGGATCGATGTGGCCCTCCAGGAAGTCAATCACCTTCTCGAGCCTATAACCAGAGCAGAAGAGCCCTGTCAGTGTTACCCCTTGGAGGAGCCAAGGAGGGCTGCTGGTAAGGACAACGTGGCTTCATTTGTCCTAAGAGGTGGCTAAGCAAAACAGAGCTTGCCTAGCAGAACAGCAGCTGTTTGAATGGCTTCCAGGTAGTACAAAGGCTGCTGTGGCACAGGAGAAATCACCCTGCTGTAAGTCTTATAACAGATGCCTCAGTCCCCAGACTGGGACATAGTCAAGCTTTAGACCCTCGTGTGGGAGCTAACTGTGCTCTCCAGCAGGACCTGTTCTCTCTGAAGGTCCCTTCCTGCCACACGGACACGCCGCATGTGCAAGCGGAGGGGACCAGATGCTGTTCCTGAGCTGTCGGCCTCAGAATCCCATCCCTCCTCCTCCAGTTTGTGGATGAGCTTCGCGGCAGTGCAGGAAGTCAGAGAGCAGAGCTCTGCGACGACAGGACAGACCTGTTCCCAGGGCAGAGCACCCAGGGGAGCGTCTGCTCTTCAGGATATTCTGCTTGGCCCAAAGAAACATTTCTGGAGATACTGCCCTGACTGCTGCTACGTTTAAAGAGTCGGGGGCCCCACAAGGTTCTGCCGGGCTCTGAATCCCACGGCTCCACCGCACCCGGAGTCGTGCTTGGTCCTGCTGCCTTTCGCCTCCTCGCTCTTGGCCGTCAGGATAATACTCAGGTACCGCAGATCATAGAGCAACTGCAGAGCTCTGTTCTGGGTCATGGGGAAGGAGCCTTCCTTCTGCAAGGAGGACAGTCAAAAGAAAAGACAGACCATCACGTTGTACACGGGGCTTTCAGAGCACTGCTCTAGGCTAAACATTTAACAGCGCTGGCATCAAGAATCAACCAGCCCAGCTGAGCCATCCACAGCAGGTACCCGGGTATCAGACCCGCTTGGCTGTCTCACTTCTGGGGAGAGGTGAAGAGGGATGAAGTCCCCCCTGTCACAGTCCCCATTCCTACGGACGGGCACCTACATTACTGTCGCGTGGCCCAGGAAGCCCCTCGTCCCGCGCTCCCTCCAGCCAGGGCAGCACCAGGCGCAGGCTGGTTGCACTCACAGACCTTCTCCTGCTTCTCTTCCATAAGCTTTCCATAGGCAGCAAGCAGTTCTGTCATGCAGCTCTTGAGCAGCTCCTGCAAGGTGACTTTGGGAAGAGTGTGACCTCCAACACGGTTCACCTCTTGGCACAGACTGAAGAGGAAGCACTGAACGTACCAGGATGGCTGTTGAGAAACAGTTAGGAAAGTATTGTTTGCGTTTGGTGTGTAAACTACATCAACTTCATCAAGGGGAAGACTTCCTTTTGGTTGTTTCCTCAGCAGTCTCAGCTCTCTCCCACTGAGATCTATCTGCCCCCAGAGCTTGGCTTTTTTCCTGCAGAATAAGCAAAATTCACCTTCTGAAGGTTGCTACAAGAAACTTGTCCTGTGCAGCCTCTCTCTTACCGAGCAAAAGCCAAACTTATTCCTGCCTTGGCCCTCCTCCTCTGTGAAACTCCCCCTGCTTTACAAAGCCGTCGCTCCTGCCATCCCCAGGAGCCTACAAGCTAGTGGTGAAGCTTCACCACAAGCGTCGCTCCTGCCATCCCCAGGAGCCTAAGGAATCTGCAGGCCTCACGCTCCTTCCCAGGTTTTTCCACAGTCCTGCCTTTACAGTCCTATCTTTCATTGGATCTCCTTGAAACTCTCTCCCCACAGCAGGTCAGCGTGCTCGGGCTTCACGTTGACTGTCCCAGGGAAGGATGCTGGCTCCCCTGCTGCCCCGTGGCAGTGTTAATTCTAGAGGTAGCCCTTGATAAATGACCTGCTGAGCACAGAGCTGAAGCCTGCTGCAGCGCGGCATCCCCGAGGCCGTTCTCACACAGGACACGGGCTGGTGAGCGAGTGACAACGCAGTGGCTTTGGAGACCACTGCTTTTCTCCTCCTGACAGACCGTTTCTGCACGGCAACGTTTCTCCTACCTGCGCAGGCAGCCGGATCTTTGACGTTACGCTGTTCCCAGACTCGCTCTCCTCCTGGATTTCGATTTCATCCCAGTTGGTGGCTGTGGCCAAGATGGAGCCTGCTGAGTCTAACAGCAACGTGCGGGCGAAGCACTGAACCAGGGCCTGGAGCACACAGCGCAGGAGCAGGCGGTCACAGCAGGGGCCGACCCTCACCCTGCTCCTTCCGCAGAGACCCTCGCCGAGAGCAGCCCATCCGGGCAGACCGAGCCCCGGGGCAGCTCCCGGGAACGGCAGCCCTGACCCCAGGGAGTGGGAAGAACTGAAACCCATGCGGGAAGCACGTGCTGAGAGCAAGAGCCCCTTACCTTGGTGACGGCCGAGCTCCAGAGCTGATAAGCAAAGAGGCTCTGCTGCAGGAGCTCTGCCTTCCCCTCCTGCCACTTGGCCTGCTCGGGGCTCATTTCCTGGGCTTTCCCCTTGCCCAGCTTCTTGGTGGAGCGGGTTTCCCTGGGCGCTGCCTCCGCGCTGCCCGAGTGGCCCAGGATGCAGTGCTTGAGGTGCGGGCACAGCTGGCTCAGGGACTGGCAGAGCCTGGCCAGGAAGAGGACGGCGCTGAGCGGCGCCTCGGCGCGCTGCAGCTCCCGGCGCACGCAGCCCAGCACGTGGCGCACGCAGGCGACGCAGTGCTCGCGCAGCAGCCCCTCCACAGTGCCCGCGTCGGCGTAGCGGTCGAAAGCAGAGCGGGACGGCGCCGTGCGGGCCGCCTCCTTGGCCGCCGAGGAGTCCGCGGGGAGGTAGGAGAGGAGGTCGTCCAGCTTGGCCTTCAGCTGGGAGTCGAGGGCGGCGCAGAAGCTCTGCACGCACGGGGTGAGCGCCTGCGCATTCCTGGA